TCTGGCCCATATATATGGTTCAGGCACCAAACATTAAAATCAATCATAGGATCACATTCTGCCACCATGGGGAGGTGAGTACCACCTTTGAGCTGGCATCGTTTATTGTCTTTTTCTCTTAGATGTATGATTGAAAATGGTCACAGGTACTTGTCAGTGTTTGTTTTTGGCCTGTATCTAAGTAAACAAGAAAAGAAAGAAAATATTTTTATCATTGTTGCCACATTGTACTTCCATAGAGGGATTGGTAAATCCATTAATCCGACAACTGACAGTAGATCAAATCTGTTTGAAAAAAAGCTCTGAGATTGATGGCGGGTATTTGAAACCAATACTGTTTAATTTTCCATTTTGAGTAAGAGGATTTTGATTTCTGGATACTGATTTTAATGACAGTGTTTAAATTTTATTTTATTTATCGCAACTAATCACACCCTCACTGAAAAGACCATGTGCAAAAAGAATACCATCGATGATGTTTAAGCTTGTAGGGTCATTGTTATAAAAAAGGTTTATACCTTCCTGGAGCCGAGGGTTGTGTACTTTAATTGCAAAGTCTTAAAATTCTTTATTTACAGCTAAGTTTTTACTGAGGTAAAATGACATCATATAAAAGGCTGAATTAGATAGATAGATGAAAGATTATTCGTGTAATGACAATAACATACAAATCCACGTCCCTATCAGTCAAAAATTAATCACAGTCCAGATTATTGAGCTTGGGCATTGCCTTAACATTCATCTTGGAAGATGCACACATATTTTTCATGGTATTTTTTATAAAAAATGTTGTCTTTAAAAATTAAAATATGGTAAAACGAAATAAACCCCAAGACACTTTTAAATGACAAAACATTGAATTATAACGCATCCTTCCCCGTTAAAAAATTGGTTTTTGTAAATGATCAACATTTTTTAAATGGGTCGCAATCCTTCTCGCCAGTTTTATAATTGATGGGTGATTGATTAAAATTGTTCATTTTACAATTATCGAAAATAATGGTTTGAGAAAATATTGGTCTTCCACCAGCTATATTTTTTCAGTAAAACTTATTTAACAAAAATTTCATTAATTAAATCTTATTATTATTATTTTATTTTAAAAATTCTTAGAATCTAAAAGTATTTTCTTTATTTAAATAACCTGCAAAAAAATTGATAAGCCATAAAAAAAAAAACAATTACTCAAATACTGATTAATTGAACAGGCATGTCTTTTAGATTTATTTAAATTCTCTGAAAAAAAACATTTGGTTTGTATTGTTTTTAAAGCATATCAACCTCAATTTTATTTAAAAAAAAAAATTATAATAACAGTTTTAATTTTTTTTTTTCAAAAAATTTGTATTGTTGGTAATATTTTTTTATTCAAAAAACTATTTTTACTAATATTTTTGGAAAAAATTTATTTTTTTTAATATTTTTTTTTTTTTTTTTTTTCAAAAATGATTTTTTTTTGATTTAATTTTTTTCTTCAAAATTTTGTTGCTTCATTTTTTTAACAAATTATTTCTGGTTTTAAAACCTGTTTTTTACACTTATTTGTTTTTTTCAAGTTTGGGGGTTAACTTTTTGCCCGCTGGGACCCTAACAGGTGCAACCACCCTATTAATCAGGGTGGACCTGGGAACAAAACAAAATTAAGAGGTGGTTTCAAATGTTCTCAAAACCTTCTGAAAAGAGGCCTTGCTGTTGGACATTGTCTTTTGGGACTTTCCATTCTCTGGAATAAAAATGAATTTGAAACTAAAACTATGTTTTAAAGTGGGATCATTTTTCTATATCGATTGTTATATATGATTGATCCCCCACTTTATATCCACATTATTTTTTCTTTTTAAACTTAGGTAAAATCTACTTGTTTTTCCCATTCTGAAGAAATTTCCTCCCTTTTAAAAAAGGTTCCCCAGTGAGTTTTTTCTGGGTATCTGAGAGAATTCATTGCTGCCACATATGGTCAGGTTTATCCATTGCACCCTGTATATTTATAAATCCTTGATAAAATCCAAAGTAGAATCTGCAATGTCATCAGTCCTGGCATTGGCATCTCTGCTTCAACCCTTTTCAATATTTTTGTATTTTCCTGTGCCTTTTCTATAAATACTTTCATGGTAATTGTTCTGCAAATGCTCCAATATAGTACACTGTTTTGTTTAGTTTGTTGCATATAAAATTGTTATCATTGTAAATATTTATTGACGCTTCATTTTGAAAAGTTGTTAATTTTATTCTCCATCTCCCACAGACAAATTATACATATGGGGACTAGTTAGGACTTCTTAGAGACTCTGTGGTATTAAAACGAACTGTTGTAAGAATGTGTTGTTTTGAAGCAAGGAACACTGTCGTATGTTCAGGTCAGTGATTGTGGCCAGCTGAGTTTAATTATAAGATAGTTTAAAGGCCAGACCTTTAGCAGTTCCCCCCCTTTTGTTTTTGTGTCAGATTTTTGTATTTTACAAAATAAATATCACTCTCTTATATGGTATCTAGTCTTTATGAATGTTGGCTTCAATCGTTATTAGGAATATGTATTTTTGCTAAATCTTTAAAATTGACATAAAGCCAAATTAGGATGTGACTACTCCACTCGTCACTTAGTATCTAAACTAGCTAATCAGATTTACGGTCCCATTCATTTGTTCCGTTTGTTCATTCTCAAGAACTCCTCCATCACCATTCAATCTCAGAATATACCACATATTCATAGAGAACCTATCCCAGACTCTGCCCGAACCATTATAGGGACAAATATGAAAATGTATGCTTGTATTTTTTCAAGCCAATGAAATTTTAATTTTTGGTTTTATATTCTCAGTCCAAAATGTTTTGTCTTAGAATTTTACATAACTTGTCCAAACTTGCTTTTGTGTGTCAACCCCAATTTTTAGTTTGAAATTTTTACCATTACCGTTGTTTTATCTTATTACTGTTAATTTTCCTTGCATATATTGTCTTGAAATTAAAATTTAAATTAATTTTTCCCATTCTTTACTTTTTTTTTTGTTATTGTTTATTGCAAACTTTGTTAATTTTGTTTGTTTTGCAGTTCTGCCATTTATTTACATTTAACCATGGCTGCTCACTGCACAATGAATTTAAGTGGCGTATTAGACTGGTAACAAGATTTCATCCTTTTACATTTGAAATGGCTAGATGTAATCACAAGTTCTATGCAGACAGATTCTTCTGTGTACTTCTCGCTTATGCAATTCATAACCGTTTCTTACTGTTATAGACAAGCGTATGGTTGCAAGAAAGAAATACGGCAACAGCAGAAATAGATTTAGGTGGTTTATTTCAACAGGAACGTGTAGGTTTGGGACAGCTACCTTGTGGTAAAGTTCATAAGCCGGCTTCGGATCTAGGTCGATCCTCATAGTAGTTCACACATGTTGACAGTGGTTGACGCTCCCCTGCTGTCAGGAGCTGAACATGACAGGTCTCTATCCTGGACACCTGTGGACTGCCTGTTGAACTTCCATGTGACCCCTTTTATAGAGGTTTTTTTATGGCTTAACAGGCTCAAAAAACAAATCGAGTATAATTAGGAGGAAAGCATTTGTATTGGACGAAAAATAGAACACTTTAAATATTATTTTATTTTTCGACCAGAACTCGAGTGTCGGGAACATTTGTAAATGAAGATAATGGTCATTTTGTGATAGGGTTTTGTCCCGTTCATATCCGGCTCTCACTCCTGCGTATATGCCTGTAAATCAGCCAAGATATATCTTATTTTATTTTATAACATTACTTTCCAGTCAAGCTTGATCATGAAAAATTTAAATGCAATGTCAATCATTACCTTCTGTTTTCTTAGTTTCTGTTCTTTTATTATTCACGTTCCATAATAATGCTTTTTTTTTTTTTTTGCTTATTCTTTCACACTCAGTAACCCCTTGTGTGTTAGTGGCTAGAAGTGGAATGATTTTTTTTACATTCAGTAACTCCCTGTGTGTTAGTGGCTTTGTTGCCTCAGTGAAAAGATTTTTTTAAAAAAGTAAGAAAGAACATCGTGTCAGTTTTGTTTGTGTCAGTTTTTAAATACATTTAAAAATCCCACTTCTTATACTAAAAGTTTTAATTGATTTTGTTACATTTATTTTCCTTCTTTTTTTTTTCTTTTCTAAGAATTTAAAGTTCCTCGGAAATCTTTACTTTCTTTTTTCATGTTTGCTGCGAAGTTTTTGAGAATTTCCTATTTTCATTATATTTTTTTTTCTTTTCTACAATATCTGATTATTTCCTCGAATTATTTATTTATACTTTCACTGATGTTGTAATGCACGCGCAACATTTGATTTTATCAACCGACTATTTATTTTCATTACATTACAATTCGTTCACGGCACTTTATTTAGTTTATTTTCATCCGCTGACAAGATAAATCAGGACAAACGATAATTCTCTTTTTTTTTTTCATTCTTTATTATTATTTTTTTTGCCTCAGACATTTTTTTAACCTTTAATTTTCGATTCTTTTTACTTAACTTTTTTTACCGTCAAATTTTTAATTCATCATAATTGTGGCAGGAGACCTGAAAATTCATTATTTTAGAAAAAAAAAAATATATATATATATCCACATTTTGGCTCTGTCTGTATATCCAAGATAAGGTATTGTGATTGTTTACATTATTTATATTATTTGAACTGTTTATCCTCATCCTCATTGCCATATTCACAATGTTTCGGCCGTCATATGCTCGGGCCTTCTTCAGATGAATGGAATTTCGAACTGAAACATGGACCAGTTGATGAAGATGTTGGTTAGATCCCGTGACTAGACCTAAAGAGCTGTGAGTTCAATACCAGGTTACAGCAGTGGTAAACTAAAAAAAAAAAAACTCAGTTGCGTTAAAGGGAAATAACTGAGACATATGGAAGAGGCATGACATGTAGAAGTAGAATATTCTACCCCAGTGGATGAAATAAAGGGTTTGGTTTGAAATTTTCGCTTGTTGAAAACGTTTTTTATTCTCAAGTCTTTAACTTGGATGAACATCCTTGCAGCAGTCTTTAAAATGAACGACTTCCTATTCCCCATCTATTGTAACAATCTTGGTTCAATTGGTTAAAATTATATATATATATATATATATATATATATATATATATATATATATTTTTGACTTTTGATCTGTCTATATATCCAAGATAAGGTATTGTGATTATTTACATTATTTGGACTGTTATCCTCATCTTCATTGCCATATTCACAATGTTTCGGCTGTCGTATGTTCGGGCCTTCTTCAGGTGACTGGAATTTCAAACTGAAACATGGACCAATTGATAAAGACGTTGGTTCAATCCAGTGACTAGACCCAAGGAGTTGTGAGTTCAATACCAGGCTACAGCAGTGGTGAACAAAAAAAAAAAAAAACTCAGATAGTTGCGTTAAAGGGAAATAACTGAGACACCGGGAAGAGGCATGGCACGTGGAAGAAGAATAATCTACCCCCCCCCCAATCCCGGATGAAATAAAGGGTTTAGTCTGAAATTTTCTTATTCTGAAGTCTTTAACTTGGGATGCTCCTTGCGGCAGTTTTTAAATGAACAACTTCCTATTCCCCATCTATTGTCACAACCTTGGTTCAATTGGTTAAGTGCCATATGTTATACATGCTTGGACAAGCATGTCTCTTTCAATTTGTGACTATGACCAAACGGAAGATTTTCCTGCATTAGGCTGCTTTTTTTTTCTGCGGTAGACTGGTTGCCAAACAAGGCTACAAGACTGAGTATTTCCTACTATTTCACCCATAGCTGGGGTTAGGGAAGAAGAGATGGGTTAATTTTGCAAAGGTTTTTGCTTGTAAGTGAATGACACAAACCTGACTGGAATTTACACTCTGCTTCATGATTTCCTGAGCTGTTATCCATCACTGTTTATATCTATCTACCCTTGCTGTTTATATCTACCTGTTGCTGTTTACACCTATCTACACGTTTCTGATTATATCTCTATCTGTTCCTGCTTCTGTCTATCTATCTAACCGCTTCTGTTTATATCTTTCTATCTATCCGTCTCTCTATTTTTATATCTATCTATCTATTTTTATATCTATCTATTTTTGTATCTATCTATCTAGTTTTATATCTATCTATTTTTATATCTATCTATCTCTGTTTATATCTATCTCTGTTTATATCTATCTCTGTTTATATCCATCTATCTCTGTTTATATCTATCTATCTATCTATCTCTGTTTATATCTATCTCTGTTTATATCTATCTCTGTTTATATCTATCTCTGTTTATATCTATCTCTGTTTATATCTATCTCTGTTTATATCTATCTCTGTTTATATCTATCTATCTATCCATCTATCTCTGTTTATATCTATCTATCTATCCATCTATCTCTGTTTATATCTATCTATCTATCCATCTATCTCTGTTTATATCTATCTATCCATCTATCTCTGTTTATATCTATCTCTGTTTATATCTATCTCTGTTTATATCTATCTATCCATCTATCTCTGTTTATATCTATCTATCTATCCATCTATCTCTGTTTATATCTATCTATCTATCCATCTATCTCTGTTTATATCTATCTATCTATCTATCTATCTCTGTTTATATCTATCTATCTATCTATCTATCCATTTCTGTTTATATCTATCTGTTTCATCTTATATCTATCTACCCGTTTCTGTATTTCTCTCTGTTTACCCGTTTCTGTATATCTATCTATCTACCCGACTGTTTAATTTAAGTTTATATATATATATATATATATATATATATATATATATAATGTGTGTGTGTTTCTCTATCTATTTGTCTCACTCATTTGAGTTTGTGGAAAAAATAAGACCAAAGCATCGATTTTTAAACAAACAAGAATTAATGCATGTATTAACAAAAAGAAATTACGTTAATGTGTACACAGGTGAAAAGGAAAGGAAAAGACATTTAAAAACTTAGCTATTAAGAATGTACTTGTTTGTCTGTGTGACAAAAGCATGTGGGTATATGCATGTGTGTGTCAGCTCAGTCATCAGTGAACCGCGGGGAAATGAATGTGCCCCAGCCGGGATGTTCTCATACATATTACGACATTCTTGGTGCAAGAAGAAAAAAGAGCTTGAGGAAGGAAATGATTGTCTTTTTATATACTTAAAGAATATTAGCTAACGGACATTTGACTCTTATCGCTCTTACCAGTATTGAAGGCGGGGTTTCCTTGCTAACCTTCTATTTGAAGTTGTGTTAACATCTTGATTATGGCATTAGTTACTCTTTGAGTTAGGTTTGCTGTCCATTTTAGTTGTTTCCACTGTTGGTAGTCCTCGAGTAATGTGATTCCTCTTATTTGGTAAGATATATTTATGGGATAGGTTGTTGTCGAATATTTTATTTTCTAAGATGACGCAATGGATTTGGTGGAGTTTGCATTGCTTATGCCATTACTAAAGGATAACTGTGAAAATCAGGAAGAAAAGTATTGTCAATGGTCAGGAATTGATTTAAGCATTTTAGAGAACCACCTTCATTCCTTTCGTATTCAGTAAGTGAGTTCTACTCGAATGAGTCACTCTCCTGGAGGTTAGCATCAGTCATAATGATGGAAGGCAGAAAGGGGTCTCTCAGATGATTAACAGAAATTAGTTTTGTTTTGGAGATGTTAAAATTAACGTGCCATTCCTTGTCCCATTTAACAGCAGATTTTAGATCACTTTTGAGATCGGCTGCCAATTTCACCTTATCGAAATGATCAGATATCCTGGCAGGAGTAAATGGTTGTGCCATCAGCTTAAAATACTGAGTTGTAAACTTCAAACCATAAGGAAAGTCATTGGTGAAAATTAGGAACAATGTAAGTTAAAATTAACGTGCCATTCCTTGCCCCATTTAACAGCAGATTTTAGATCACTTTTGAGATCAGCTGCCAATTTCACCTTATCGAAATGATCAGATATCCTGGCAGTTATAAATGGTTGTGCCATCAGCTTAGATACTGAGTTGTAAACTGAAACCATAAGGAAAGTCATTGGTGAAAATTAGGAACAATGTAAGTTAAAATTAATGTGCCATTCCTTGCCCCATTTAATGTGCCACATCCATGGATTTTATTTATTTCATTTCCATCTCTAAAAATCTTGACGATCAGAATTTGGCAGCTGCTCACTCGTTGGATTCCCATTAATAATAAAAACTTAAAAAAAACTTTTAAAAACAGTTCATTTCTATTAATGTGGTTTACATATTATTGTATATATTACTATATAAAATATATTGTAGAACAGGTATATTGACCTTGACTTGTATAAAAATATGTATGCTGTTGGTACACTGAATGAGTTTAAAACCCTAAATCGGTACATATCAAAAGGTTGCCGACCTCAGCTTTATAGTGGCACAGACAGTGGTATTTTCTGTTAATGTGGTTTACATATTATTGTATATATTACTATACAAAATATATTGTAGAACAGGTATATTGACCTTGACTTGTATAAAAATATGTATGCTGTTGGTACACTGAATGATATTAAAACCCTAAGTCATTATATAATTAGCAAAAGGTTGCTGACCCCTGTTTTATAATGTCACAGACAGTATCTTCTTAAAAAACAGTTTATTTCTGTTAATGTGGTTTACACATTATTGTATATATTACTATATAAAATATATTGTAGAACAGGTATATTGATCTTGACTTGTCTAAAAATACGTATGCTGTTGACACGATGATTGAGTTTAAAACCCTAAGTCAGCACATAAGTTGCCGAACCTTGCTCTGTTACCTAGACTCCATGAATTTAAGTGCATTACTAGTTTTTTTTTGTTTTTTGACAGTAAGGTTCCTCAAGTCCAGTAGCTGTTATCTATCTTTCCAGTATTGATAGTTTGGAGCAGGGAGGCTTCATAACCTTTCATTTGAAGTCAGTGTGAAATGTCAACATCTTGATCATGCTATTATTTTCGCATCAATTCACAGTTGAATTGGCTAGGTTCTGTGCTAATAGCTTCTTTTCTCGCACTTCTCACTTGTGGAACTCACTTCGGACTCCATGCTTTGTAGTCCACTTCAAATATTTAAACGCAATGTCAATCATTATCTACTGTCTTCTTGATTCCTCCTCTTTTATTGATCTCGCTCCTTAATGATGTTTCTCTTTTTTTTTCTTATTCTTTCATTTGTAATCCCTTGTCTTTTCGTGGCTAGAGTGCCTTACATGGAGATGGTATCATTAAAAAACAGAA